ATCGAACCCAGGGCCTCATGCATGCAAGGCAAGCACTCTACCACTGAGCTACCTTCCCAGTCCCAAACAATAAAATCTTAATGTTCCCAATCCAGGAAAGTACTTTACTTGTACTCCAGCTCCACCTCTATATACCTGAGCATCTCTTTTCTGGGGTCCCAACTGATTCACATTATCTTTATCTGGACCACACACCAGTTGATTCTATTCCTAGTTAATCATAATCATGATCTAGTCCTGCTTTCTAAAAGTTTCACTGGGTCACAATGATAGAAATTTGTGTGTGATCCCCAATTCTTCAGGTATCTATTTACATCCTGTGTCCACTAGTGGCTAATTTCATTCTTCCTGTATGTGTTTTACCTGCTTATCTACAAAACAGCCATATTTCCTTAATAGTCAAGTTCTTGGGCAACCCCCATAGATCAAGTACTACTAAGAGGGGTATGCACTTGAACTGTGAATTTATATCAATATTAAAAGAAAAGGTGTATGACCTCAACATATTCACGAGGAATAGATTTCTTACATGGATTGTCACATTTCTTCTTTAGGGAGACATTTAACCAACACATTCATTTATGATGGTAAAATGATGTACTTTATTAGAAGACACTTCTAAGCTGAGCGCCAGTGGCTCACACCTGTAATCCTAGCTACTCAGGAGGCTGAGATCTGAGGATCACAGTTCAAAGCCAGAAAAAAAAAATTGGAAGTAGAGGTGTGGCTCAAGTGGTAGAATATATCAGCTTTGGGGAAGGGAAGCTAAGCAAAAGTGAGAGGCCCTGAGTTCAAGACCCAATCCAACAGAGAGAGAGATGGGGGCAGGAAGGAGAGGCATTTCTATTAAGGACAAACTGACCCGGACACTACTTTGGCCAGATACATTGGTGCACACTTTTTTTTTTTTTTTGGTCAGCCGTGGGGCTTGAACTCTGGGCCTGGGCGCTGTCCCTCAGCTCTTCAGCTCAAGGCCAGCGCTCTACAACTTCAGCTATAGCGCCACTTCCGGTTTTCTGGTGGTTTATTGGAGATAGGAGTCTCACGGTCTCTCCTGCCCGGGCTGGCTTTGAACCAAGATCCTCAGATCTCAGCCTCCTGAGTAGCTAGGATTATAGGCGTGCGCCACCAGCGCCTGGCGGTGCACACTTTTAGTCTCAACTATTCGAGAGACTGAAGCAGGAAGAATGCTTGAGCCCAGGAATTTGAGGACAGCCTTGAGAACACAAAACCTTGTCTCAAAAAAAAAAAAAAAAAGAACACTTAACTTTAGTGTTTCCAATTTCAAGTCTTTTATCTGTGGTTTATCATTTTAGTTTTATTATGTTTAAACCTTCTGCTCTTATTTTCTGCCCATGTTTATCTCAGTTTCACCTTTCCTAGTTACTTTCTCCCTTTGTGCCTGTTGTGTTTTTGTTGTTGTTGATCTTGTTATTGTTATTGTTCTTGGTAGTGGTGGTCATGGGGCTTGAATTCAGTCCTGGGTGCTGTCCCTGAGCTATTGCATTCAAGGCTAGCATCTATGTCTTTGAGTCACAGTGCAGCACCACTTCCTGTTTTCTGATGGTTAGTTGGAGATAAGAGTCCACGACTTTTCTGCCTGGGCTGTCTTCAAACCTTCTGATCCTTAGATCTCAGATTCCTGGGTAGCTCAGATTACAGGCATGAGCCACAGGCACCCAATTTACATGCTTATTTTTATGATATCTGGCCATCTTAGTTTTCATTCCTTTTATCCCCTCTTTTTCTGTTTCTGCAGTCCTCCTTCTTTGGGATATTTATTCTATTAGTCTGAGGGTGCCTTACTTTTCCTTCCCATGATTCCTCATCATTGCTATTCTTCTATGCCAAAGCATATCTCCGATTCTGACTTGTCCTCATCTTCCTGCCCTCTCAGCCTATCAATTACTGTCAGTCTTGCCTTTGTGTTACACTGCAGCTGTTTGTCCTTTGTCTTTCTGCCCATCTCTAACTCAATATAATTCCTTCTCTTCTCCAAATCATTTCATTGATGCCTCCTCCTCTGTTTCCAGCCCTTCTGCTCCCCTCCTCTTCATTCTCCACCTTTCTTCTCTCATCTGCTAATCTCTATCATCTTCCTTCCTCCCGAGTGGGCTTGTTCTTCCTTATCATTTGTTCTCACTATTCAGCTGTCTAAGCTAGCTGTGTCTTCCACCTTTGGGGTCCTTTTTCTGTCTGCGTTCGTTTATTTCTGTTTCTTTTGTCTTTATTGTTTATGATTACTTTTTAACCAATCCTATGATTTGGGTTTCTCAGAAGCCCTGTAACAACCTTTTTCAGTATTTCTGCCAAGGTTTCTTTCTCCCCTGCCCTCAGTCTCTCTCTGCTTCTGGCTTCCCTATGTAATTAATTCTCTCTTTCCTTCTATCTATCCCTTTACATGTATTGGTCTCTGTCATTCTTTTTGTCCGTCGCTCCCTCAGCTTCTTAGCATTTTTTTTTAACTTCTTGTCTCTTGTTTTTTTGCTCATGTGTCTTTTCTGGGGATGATTAAGGCTTATTTCTTTCTGTCCATTGTTTAGTAGAATAGGAACCTTAATCTGCTCTACACTTCCAGTAACCTCTTGGATGTTCTGAGGAGTCTTGTTCAATAGGAAAAATTCAGCAGACATAGCAGTGAGGAAGGGGAGCTTTTGAGGAAGTCAACTATTCCTTCATCCTTCTTCAACCAAGAAAGATAATCCTTTCACCTGTTCTATCTCTGCTCTCATTCCCCAGTGGAATCCTGGGCCCTGGAAAATCCTGTGCTGAGTGCAAACATTGGATGTATTAAGTGCTTTCTATAACTCTGGGCTTCTGTGCTGACTGAAGAAGACATGCCTAGCCATGTGCTCATTCCTCTAAGAACTCTTCTCCCATTCTTTCTTTCTTCCTTGTTTTTGCTGGTCCTGGGGCTTGATCTAAGGAACTGAGTGCTGTCTCTGAGCCTGTTTGTATTTAAGGCTAGTGCTCACCACTTGAGTTACAGTACCAGTTCCAGATTTTTCTGAGTAGTTAATTGGACATAAGAGTCTCACAGATTTTCCTGCCTGGGCTGGCTTTGAACAATGATCCTCAGATCTCAGCCTCCTGAGTAGCTAAGATTATAAGCGTGAGCCACTGGCACCTGACTCTCTCTCTCTCTCTCTCTCTCTCTCCTTTCTTTCTTTCTCTACCAGTTGAACAACAGCTTTTTTGCTGGTTAACTAGTGATGAGTCTCACAGAGCCAGGTGCCAGTGGCTCACACCTGTAATCACAGCAATTCAAGAAGCTGAGATCTTCAGGCTGGGAAGATGGCTCAGTGTTAGAGTGCTTGCCTTGCATGCATGAGGCCCTGGGTTCGATTCCTCAGCACCACATAAGCAGAAAAAGCTGGAAATGTCACTGTGGCTCAAGTAGTAGAATACTAGCCTTGAGTTGAAGAGTTCAGGCCCTGCGACCGACAAAAAAAAAAAAAAAAGAAGAAGAAGAAGCTGAGATCTGCCCGGGCAGGAAAGTCTGTGAGACTCATATCTCCAATAAACCACTCAGGAAACCAGAAGTGGTGCTGTGGCTCAAGTGGTAGCGCACTAGCCTTGAGCAGAAAGCAGAAGAGCTGAGGGATGTGCCCAGATCTAGAGTTCAAGCTCTGCAACTGACAGGAGAAGGAGGAGGAGAAGGGGGAGAGAAGAAGGAGGGGGAGGAGGAGGAAGAAGAAGAGGAAGCAGCAGCAGCAGCAGCAGCAGCAGCTGAGATCTGAAGATGGCAATTGGAAGCCAACCCAGGCAGAAAGCCTATGAGACTCTTATCTCCAAGTCATCACAGAAAAACCTGGAAGTGGAGCTGTGGTTTAAGTGGTATAGCACTAGCCTTGAGCAAAAGGAGCCAAGAGACAATATTCAGGCCCAGAGTTCAAGCCCCAAGACTAAAAAAAAACAAAACCAAACCCAAAACAAACAAACAAAAAAAGTCTCATCAGTTTTTCTGCCTGGGTTGGCTTTGAACCTCTATCCTAAGATCTCAGCCACTAATGCCTGGCTCAGAATAATTTTCTTTGAAAGGTCAGAAAAAAACAAAAACATTTAAAAGGCTGGACACAGCAGATGGGTTAAGTACAAACTTAATATTTGCAGTGTAGCTTTCAGAACCAGAAGTATTAGCAGCAATGCAGTCTCCTGGGCTCTTCTGTCACTTGGCAACTCTCATCCTATCCCTACTGGCCACAGATGTCTCTTGTGCCCTCTTCGTGCTGCCAGAATTTGGTCCTAAGTGAGGTATCTCTTCTCTTTGGCTCTACCCACTCCATGCTACATCTCTCTTATCCCACTGGGACCCCTCCTTCTCTCATCTGCCCCAATGCTAGAGCAAAGGCTCTGTTTTTCCTGGCAGTTCTTTCTATCTTCATGCCTCTAGCTAGCCTTTAATTGACACACCAGGATATTACCTCCTGAGTTCTTTTTTTATGGAAAATATGGTCATCTGATAGAATTCAGTGAACCCAGGTTTCCACCCAGCCACCAACATCAGGATTTCTTCTTGGATACTAGAAGGAAAAAGAGAGGAATTAGGTGAAAGAGACCTGAGATCCTGATAATCTAGTTTGGCTCTTTCTCCCATGGCAGGCTGTGGATGCAGATCACTATCTCCTTATTCTGGCCCCACCTCCACCAAGGAAGGCAAAAGAGGAGTCTACCACTTTGCTTTAGTCTTTTTTTTTTTTTTTTTTTTTTTGGGTCTGGTTGTGGGGCTTGAACTCTGGGCCTGGGTGTAGGAGACCAAAAACCTGCCTGAGAGTGTTCTGACCTTTTACAGACACCTGTGCAAACTTTGACAAACAACCATTCTCGGAAATACCGCAAGATGTACTTTTAGATTAAGTTCCTGGAACAGGCTGGGCAGGTTGGACCAAAAAGATCTCGCCCTAACCCCGTTATTAAAATGTCCTATCTAACCCGCCCTTCCTCCTAGTATTTCCCCTTCTACCCTTATAAAAGCTTAAGTTTCTTCACCAATAAACGAGACCATGACGCTACCCAGACTGACTTTGTCTTTCTTTATGCGCTTGGTCTCCTTCCTCTCTCCACCCATTGGTTCTTTTAGGAGGTGCCCCCTCGGGTCCCACCAAATTACCTGACCTGCTGGACAGGTCAAATGGCGCCCAACGTGGGGCCCGAGGCGCGGTGACCTGCCGGACAGCGGACAAACACGGAGCTCCTGGACACATGAGGTAGAGACGTCCGGACCGCATCGCTCGTGCACCCCGGAAAAAGTCTTGAGGTAAGTTTTGCTGTCCCATCAACCATGGGCAAAAATCTGTCTAAAGAAGGACTTTTTATTAAGGAAATGAAAAGTAATCTTAGGGAAAGAAGAATTAGAGTTAAAAAAAAAGGACTTGCATACTTTTTTTTGTTTTGTGGAGGAAAAATGTCCATGGTTAACATTACATGGCCCAGGGATTCACCCTCTTACCTGGAATAAGGTAGGAAAGGACATTAACAAACTCCTTAGGGAGGGGGAAGAAGTTCCCGAAGCCTTTTTCAGTTTTTATGGGGTCATCAGGGACATCTTAAAAGATGTGGAGAGAGATGGACGCTTTTCCCATCTTTTAGCCCTTGCGGAAGACCTCCTTACTTGTTCCCCGGCAGAACATGAACCTTGCTCTAAGGTCAGCTCGCCAACCGCCCCTTTAAAAAATGAAACTAATTCGGAAAAAGGGACATCGGGCCTAGATGAGGCTGCCATTAGCGCGACTTCGCCTTCTCCATCCCTTATTGATGAGCCTATTCCCACTAAATTGGCTCCCCCCTTACTGAGACCACCCCCTATAAATAAATCCTTAAAAATAAGAAAAGGCAACATATCCTGTAATTCATCAAAATGTCCCTGACGATGATTGGCTTGATCCCTCACAACAAGCCGACCTCGAGGAGGAGGCAGCCAAATATAATGAGGAAAAATACGGCCCCGTCCTCAATATCAGCCCCAAATTTTTATAGCAGACCAGGGGCATACAAGACAACTCCACTGGCCCTTTCCACCCCCATATAGACCATGTCCCCCCAGCGCCCCCCCAGACGATTCAGTCCCTCTTATCCAGATTCCGGGGGTAGAAGGACTCTTAAAAACTAAACAATCCCTTTTAAGACAGGTCTCCACTCTAAAAGATGTCCTTTCTGTAAAAAAAGAATTAAGGGATCTCACCCAACAAATACAGGAATTACAGATTGACCTTACAGGGGAGGCCGGCCTTGTTTTGCCTTACGCGGGCTCCTCGCCAAATACACAGGCCAAGCCAAAGATAAATAAAAATAACAAGACGCCGGCTTCGATGTCGCTCTTTTTTCCAGTAATAACCGGCTCTGGTACTCAGGCCCAAAGAACGGGGGACCAGGCAGACACCACCCAGGGTGATAATTCGGATGATGAAGATGTTGAACAGGAGACTTCAGCCTCTGAGGGAGAGGGGGAGGAACTAGAGGAGGAGCGAGAACAGGACAATGTTTGCCAGATCATATATAAAAAATTAAAAATTAAACATCTAAAAGACTTACATTCAGCAGTAAAAAATTATGGTATTAATGCACCCTTCACCCTTTCTATACTTGAAGGACTGGGCCAAGGAGGCAGCCTGCTGCCTCATGAGTGGGTTAAAGTGGTTCAGTCAGTCCTGACTAGAAGCCAGTTCTTAACCTGGAAGGCTGAGTTTATAGACAGGGCTGAGATGCAGGCCGTTTTAAATAAAAAGAGTCCTCAAATGGCCACATGGACCTCTGATAAAATTACCGGAAGGGGCAAATTTGCTACAGAAGAAAAACAACAAAAGCTTCCAAGGGGACTCATTACACAGACGTCCCAAGCGGCCATGGCAGCCTGGCGGGCCGTGCCCTCTACCGGGACGACCACAACCTCTCTGTCTAAGATCCTTCAAGGTCCTAATGAGCCTTATGCCCAATTTGTTGCCAGACTATTAGAAGCAGCTGAGAGAATTCTGGGAGATGATAGTACAGACAATATACTAATAAAACAATTGGCTATAGAAAATGCTAATAGTGCCTGTAAAGCCGCTTTGCGTGGTAAAACAAAAAATTTAGATTTAAACGGCATGATCAAAATTTGTAATGATGTTGATTCTCTTGATTATAAAATTTCCAAAACCATGTTGGCAATTGGTGCCATGTTTCAAACACCCCCCAAAGCTTCCGGTAACAAGGGTAAATGTGGAAGCCCAGGACATTTCGCTAAGGAATGTACCAGCTCACCAAAGTCCGGCCAAACTTTCCCCGCGGGCGACCAAAAAAGACCGCCCCCAGGACCCTGCCCTAGATGTAAAAAAGGATGGCATTGGACCCGAGAATGCCGCTCTAAGACAGATATTAATGGCCAACCATTGTCTGCGGTCCAGGGAAACGGACCGCGGGCCCCGTTTCGGGGCCCTACCCAGTTACAAACCCGGCCTCAAATGATTTCCAACAATCCCTTCAACACCAGTCAGGGCCAAAACTCCCACAGCCCCAAACAACCTTAACCCGACCTGCGCAGACCTATTTAGAGCCACACCAGGAAGCGCAGGACTGGACCTCTGTTCCTCCACCACCCGAATTATAACCCCTGAAGAGGGCATAACCGTAATAGACACAGGGGTATTGCCGCCCCCCCCCCCCCTCCGCCAGGAATGTTTTTCCTTATCCTTGGACGAGCCTCTAGCTCATTACAGGGATTGTCCATAACCCCCACCATAGTTGATTCTGATTATCAGGGTGAGATAAAGATTTTGGCCTCTGCCCCTCAAGGCCCCATTACTGTTCCAATAGGACGGGGCATTGCTCAGGCCCTCCCCTTGCCGTTCATGGGACCATTTTCTCACAAAAACCCTGCCCATGGGTCCTCAAAACCAGGATCTTCAGATATTTTCTGGGTCCAACAACTTATGGAGAGCCGACCCACAATTAAACTTTCTTTAGATGGAGAACCACTCCTAGGCCTTTTGGACACTGGCGCTGACACCACAGTCATAGCAAAAAAATATTGGCCTAAATCCTGGCTGTCCCTACCCGCAGGACTTCAACCAGGGCAATGAACCTAAGGGAGAAGGAATGAAGGGACCAGAGACACGAAGGACAGCAAGACAAGGATTCTGATCAAGCTGCCAAATTTTATTTTTCACGCAGGGGTATTTATATGTTTAGAATAAGGAAGCTTTTTCATCGGGTGTAGCAGCTGCAGGATGCTTGCTTAGGGCAGTGAAAAGGTGGTTGTTAGCAGCTATGGGGTGTTTGTATGGGGGGTGAAAAGGTGGTCGTTAGTAGCTGCAGGGTGTTTACTTTAGGGCGTGGTGAAAAGGTGGGATTCTGTAAACTCAGCCTCAGGTTGTTCCAGTGCGATAGTTAAGCCTATCAAGTTTGAGAGACTTAACTTTTGGCTCCCAACACCTGGCCACTGGAGCCCACAGTCACCCACCTAAAGGGCAGTGGCCAGATTCAAAATACCTTACAAAGTTCTAAGTTTCTCCAGTGGACAGACCCGGAAGGAAACTCGGGGACAGTGAGGCCTTTCGTGGTTGAAGGGCTGCCGGTTAACTTGTGGGGAAGAGACATTATGACCCAGATGGGGGTCATTATGATGAGCCCCAATGATAAGGTAACTCAGATGATGTTAAAAACTGGTTTTCTGCCAGGTAAAGGATTGGGAAAACATGAACAGGGAGGTACCCAGCCCATCATACCCATCCCTAAATTAGATAGAGGGGGATTAGGGACGGACCTTTTTTCCTAAGGACCACTGCTCCTCCTGCACACCAAGCCGATAAAATAACTTGGAAGTCTGATGAGCCGGTTTGGATAGAACAGTGGTCCATGCCTTCAGAAAAGGTTCAGGCTGCCCTTCAGTTGGTGCAGGAACAATTAAAACAAGGACACCTTGAACCTTCTACCACCCCCTGGAACACCCCTATTTTTGTAATAAAGAAAAAAACGGGCAAATGGAGGTTATTACAGGACCTTAGGGAAGTAAATAAGACAATGGTTCCCATGGGGGCACTACAGCCCGGACTTCCTTCCCCTGAAGCCATTCCTAAAAAATATTTTAAAATTGTTATAGATATTAAAGATTGCTTTTTTTCTATTCCTTTACACCCTATGGATTGTAAACGATTTGCCTTTTCCATACCCATGGTAAATCATATGGGCCCTAATCCCCGATTTCATTGGAAGGTATTACCCCAAGGCATGGCCAATTCGCCCACCTTATGCCAAAAGTATGTAGCTCAATCCATTGACCCAGTTAGGATTCAATATCCCTCAGTTTATATTATACATTATATGGACGACTTATTGATAGCTGGAAAAACTGAGGATGAGACACAAAGAGTTGCTCAAATAATTGTTAAAGCTCTTTTAGACAGAGGATTTACCATAGCCCCAGACAAAATTCAGGTTCAATATCCCTTTTTATTTTTAGGATTTGAGTTATGTCCAGACTTTTTATATACACAAAAGATCCAAATTAAGAGGGACACTCTTCAATACCTTAATGACTATCAAAAACTTTTGGGAGACATTAATTGGTTACGACCATATTTAAAATTAACAAAAGGAGACCTGCGCCCCCTTGAGGATCTCCTTAGAGGAGACCCTGATCCCTTCTCCCCTAGACATCTTACTAAGGAAGCAGAGAGAGCACTACTTAAGGTTGAATTAGCCATAGCTCAACAACACACGGGATACTTTGACCCAGGTGCGCCCCTATATCTAGTCATCTTTTCCACAGAGTTTGCACCTACCGGTCTACTTTGGCAAGAGCCAGTGCCCTTACTTTGGGTACACCTCCCCGTAGCTAAAAGAAAAATTCTTCCCACCTATCCTTCCCTGGTTTGCCAAATAATTATGAGAGGGATAAATATTTCCACACGCTATTTTGGGAGAGACCCTAATTTTGTTATTATGCCATATGATAAAGAGCTAATCAAATGGTTGTGTACCCGTGATCCTGATTGGGCTGTTCTTATTTGCTCCTATTCCGGAGAATTTGATACACAAATGCCAAGAAATAAACTTCTTCAGTTTTTTTTCCCTCACCCCTTTTGTATTTTTAAAAAACACCCAGGAAAACCCCATTCCAACTGCCCCTACCATATTTATTGATGGGTCAAAAAATGGCAGAGCTGCTTATGTCCTTAACAAACAACATGTTATAAAGACCTGCTTTAAATCAGCACAGCTGGTAGAATTATTTGCTGCCGTTACCGTTTTTAACAAATATAAAGATAGCCCTTTTAATTTATATTCAGATAGCAAGTATGTGGTTGGGGCTTTACAGACCTTGGAGATGGTTCCCATAATTCAACCTACTACTCCTACTTTTCAAATGTTTTCTGATTTACAAAAGCTAATTCGACAGAGGTCAACACCTTTCTATGTGGGCCACATTCGTGCTCACACCGGCTTGCCAGGACCTCTAGCTCAAGGAAATGAACTTGCCGATTTGGCCACATGTTCTGTTTTGATTTCTCATCTAGAATCTAGCCAGCTAGCTGCTGCACGTGAGGCTCACCGTCTTCATCATCTTAATGCTCAGACTTTGAGACAAAGGTTCCTAATTACCAGAGAACAGGCTAGAGAAATTGTAAAAAGCTGTAAAAACTGCCTAATGCTTTTACCTGAACCCCATTATGGAGTAAACCCTAGGGGACTCACGCCTGGACAACTATGGCAAATGGATATTACCCATGTTCCCTCTTTTGGTAACCTAAAATTTATACATGTTACTATAGACACCTTTAGTAGGTTTATTTGTGCCTCCGCCCATAGTGGAGAAGCCACCAAAGATGTTATTAGTCATATGTTATATACATTTACAGTATTGGGCCAACCTAAGAACATAAAAACCGATAATGGCCCGGGGTATACCAGTAATAAATTTAAACAATTTTGCTTACAATTGGGAATCAAACATGTCACAGGGATACCCTATAACCCACAAGGCCAAGGTATTGTGGAAAGAGCCAATCAAACGCTTAAAAACACCTTACATAAACTACGCTCACAAGAAACCTTGTTTCAAAAGGCCTTACTTTCTCATGCTCTTTTTGTTTTAAATTTTTTAACACTGGATGCCTTTGGGAGGTCTGCTGCTGAAAGACACTGGCACCCAAAGACTCAACAAGGGTTTGCTCAGGCTCTTTGGAAGGATCCCATTACGGGAAAATGGCAGGGGCCTGACCCAATTATCATTTGGGGAAAAGGGTCTGCATGCATTTATGATTCCAGGGAAAATGGAGCCAGATGGCTACCCGAAAGATTAGTTAAACCATATACCAATATCAATGATTCAGACAATAATGCCAATAAAGATAATGCTAAGTAGGTCCAGGCCTACAACCTGAGACAAAATTTTTCTTTCTTTTCAGAACCTACTTTAAAAGATGACCTCCCCTTTGCCTGCCTGTCTCATCTTCTGGACCGTGCTGATGCCAGTTGTTGCCAAGACTAGCCCCCCTGTGCCTGTGAAACAGACATGGTCAATTGTAAACCCTAACACTGGAGAAGTCGCTAACGCCACCTCTTCTACTCTTTACCCACCAGGAGCCTGGTTTCCAAACTTGTTTGTAGATCTTTGTGATATTATAGGGGGAGATTGGGACCCTTCCGATCAGGAGCCTTTCCCTGGGTATGGTTGTGCTAGCCCAGGACAAAGGCATAGTACTAGAAACCAACAATTTTATGTTTGCCCTGGCCATAGTCGATCCAAATCCCAACTTAAGAAATGTGGTGGACCGGGGGATGGTTATTGCGCTGCCTGGGGATGTGAAAGCACTGGATCAGTTTGGTGGTCCCCTCCCGTTAATGACCTTATAAAGGTTGAGGCCTGGGATAGAAGCATGCAGGGAACTGGCACTTGTGGCCGGCAGGGGGCTTGTGGACCTTGCTATGACTCTAAAAAATGGCCGTCCCGATCATGGGCAACACCAGGTGGTCGCTGTAATGGGCTAAAAGTCAGCTTCACAAACCAGGCAAAATCAATTGACCTGATTAAGTGGATACAAGGCCTCTCTTGGGGGCTTCGTCTGTACCGAACTGGGTATGACCCAGCTACAACTTTTACCATTCGACTACAGACGGAACCCCTTGCCACAGCTATTGGGCCAAATCTAATCATCGCTAATTATCAAAACCCAAAAACTTCAAAAGCCAATACTAAAACACCTAAACCGCCTAGTTCAAATTCATCTTTACCCTCCCCTTTTGCCAACCCAGGCATTGCCAACCCTAGCTACTGACCAGTCCCGTGCCAAAAATAGACTTTTTAACTTAATACTGGGGGCTTTCGCAGCCCTAAATGCCTCAGATGCCAACCGAACCCAAAATTGTTGGCTGGAGGGAAGATCGGGACCGTGAGGCGCTGGGCCAGCTGGGCTGGTCTGTTGCAAGAACCGTTGGACAAAAAAGATCTCGCCCTAACCCCGTTATTAAAATGTCCTATCTACCCCGCCCTTCCTCCTAGTATTTCCCCTTCTACCTTTATAAAAGCTTAAGTTTCTTCACCAATAAACGAGACCTTGACGCTACCCAGACTGACTTTGTCTTTCTTTATGCGCTTGGTCTCCTTCCTCTCTCCACCCATTGGTTCTTTTAGGAGGTGCCCCCTCGGGTCCCACCAAATTACCTGACCTGCTGGACGGGTCACCTGGGCACTGTCCCTCAGCTCTTCAGCTCAAGGCTAGCGCTCTACCACTTGAGCCACAGCACCACTTCCGGCTTTTTTCTTTTTGCTTATGTGGTGCTGAGGAATCGAACCCAGGGCCTCATGTATGCAAGGCAAGCGCTCTACCACTGAGCCACCTTCCCAGCCCTGCTTTAGTCTTTTAGGCTGAGAATTGAATTGTTTTTGCTGACCAGCTCCCCATCACAATATATCCTGTTCCCTCTAATTTCTTGGGTCCAAGGACAAATGGACATAAGACACAGAATATCACTAACTAGAATGTGAACATCTAATATGGTATTTGTCACACCCACAGTGACCAAGCTTACTTTCACCAAGAATAACCAGCATCAGAGGTACCTGGTAGTGCTGTCAGAATAACCAGAAGCACCAAGCAGATGGAAGAGGACCAGAGTGAACAAGTGACTAAGCCGAAGGCCAGGGATGGGTCCTGGGAAGCAATCAGCAGAAGCTTCTGCAGGTACAAGCATGCAGAGTTCAGCTCCAGGAGCAGACACCATAGAGAAGCCCACAGAGTAGCCAGACAGAACACCAGTTCCAAGGTTAGCTCACTACCTGGAAGTAGGGCTCAAGATCAGAAGACCTGCCATCATTTGCATCCATTCCACTATCTCAGTTCTTATAATAAAGTGCTCCCAATCATTTTGTGAGACTCCAAAAAGCCTGACCTGACCTTTATGTTTCCCCTTATTTTGGCCAGGGAGATTCTCATCCTGGGGCTGCAGCAGCTACACAGTACCGCTCAACTTCTATTCTTGGGCTTTTGTGTTCCATCCCCACACTCTATACCAGACTTGTCCTTAGAAAAGTGCCATACTCAATGTTTCTGTTATCAGGTGGACTCGATCACAAAGAGATCCAAACTCCTTGGGCAGTGCTTAGACTTCAGCTGTGGCTAGCAGTCAGCCTCCTTCCTCCTAGTTCAGCACAAGTTTGGGTGGGTATGAATCCAGCTGTTAAGAAATGTATTCATAGCCGGGTGCCGGTGGCTCACGCCTGTAATCCTAGCTACTCAGGAGGCTGAGATCTGAGAATCGCGGTTCAAAGCCAGCCCGGGGAAGGAAAGACCGTGAGACTCCTATCTCCAATAAACCACTAGAAAACCGGAAGTGGCACTGTAGCTCAAGTGGTAGAGTGCTCGCTTTGAGCTGAAGAGCTGAGGGACAGCGCCCAGGCCCAGAGTTCAAGCCCCATGACCGACAAAAAAAAAAAAATGTATTCATTACCTTATTCTTGTCATTGTAACCCCTCGGTACAGTATCCTTACAATAAAATTGTTTTTTTTACAAAATCCAGCTGTACTCAGAGAAACTGTAGGAAGTCAGAGGGCAAAGGACTAAAGAGAGGTTGGGATGCCAGGTTTGGCATGTCTCTCCTCCTTGTTCGCTTTCTCCCTTCAGAGTTTCGCCACCATAGGGTGATAGAGAGGGACCCAAGCCTGACCCAAAGTCTAGTTCTACCGCATGCCAACTCTATCAGTCAGGAAGTAACCTTTGAGTATGGAGGGGTGGGGATATTAGGCTTTCCAGAGCTGGTGCACAGTCTAGGAAGGAATCTCAAGCCTCTCTTTCTCTAGTTCTTTTTGTTTGTTCATTTGTTTGTGGTTCCCTCTCCCCCCAAAGTTCTTTAGTTCCCCCCTAGTAAACCTCCAGAAACCTTTGATCCCTACCTGTGATTCTAGTTCCACGGTTGCCCTCACTGTTCCTTCTTTCCTACAGGCTGACTCACAAACCCTACTGTTAGTAGCAGTGCCCAGAGTGGGTGGGTGGCTATAAATGGGATCAGTGTCCACCTAAGGATAAAACGACAGCCTGAGGAGGGAGGGGGGAAGCGGGAGCTATGGAGAGAGTCTCTCCAAGACCCAGACTAGGCTCTCTCCAGGCATCCACGCCCCCAGTTTAGCCTTTGGAATTGTTATGAATTTCAAAGGGGCTGTGGCCTGTTCTAACCTCAGCCTTCCACCCCCTCATCCTCACTCTGGTGCTTCTCCAACCTTCAGGCTCTTGAGCACCAGAGCCGCATCCCGGCCCTGGTGAGCAGGTTGTCCATCTGCAGGACACAGAGGTTCCGCCAATTCCAACGATCCTGAGCGGCAGATCCCGGCGTGGGCAACAGCGGAATCCCGGCGTGGGCAACAGCGGTAGCCCGCAGTGCAGCCCCCCGAAACACAGCGAAGGGGGGGTCGGGCCCAGAGTGCGCATGGCCAGACGGCTCAGTTAGGTCCGGATCTTTCTCTGTAACCCCAGAGCTCTGGGGCCCCAAGGCCTCGGGCGGGTCACAGGTCTGGCTCTCCCGTTCCCGGCGCTCTCTGGCCGCCCCGCCCGCCGAATCTGCTATAACTTTCCCGGCTTGGCCACGCCCCTACGCCGTAGCCGGGCCGTGATTGGAGCAGCGGTGGAGCCACCGCCCAAGGAACCCCGGCAACCGACCGCGTCCTGCCCAACCCTGGGATAGCAGCTTGGGGGCTCCTGGACCCCGAGGGGTGCAACCGAGGGGGTGCCACCTACCTCGGGGGGGGGGAGCACTTCCAGAATGTCAACAGAGGTTTTCTTCATCTGCAGGGTTCTGAGCCTCTCGGAGTTTCAGAAATGGGTCCCCAGTCCAATCTTACCAGACACTCCTGGGAGCCCCGCCCCACTAACTCTCACCTCCTCCTCCCTGCTAGCTCGTCTCTCCCCCACCCGCCATTCCCCCCACAGCCACAGCCCTGACGGTTGCAGCCAGCGCAGCCAACCTCACTGGCCTAGACCTTTCCACCTCTCCTTCACCGCGGGAGGCGGCGCCTCACTTGCTTTATGCCACACCTTTTGTCTCATTTGGTTTTCCAGGCCGTTCGCAAACTTGTAACTCCAGGAGTCTTGACCTTATACCCTCGTACTTTCCAATCAAGTGCCCTAATTTTTAAGAAGCAACCCACTGCGGCCACAGCCCCTCCTCTTCCTTTTATTTTTGGCTCTACTGAAAATCCTTATTAGGAAGAAAAGACTCTAGTAGTCTTGAAAAGCATTCCCTCTCCCAGGGCTGGATACCTGTTGGGTGAGTAGAAATCTTTTCCAATCTAAGGGCAAGGAGAGATGACACGGTGACACGGGTCACCTCAACGTTAGGGCAGACTCAGAAAGAGAGAGAGAGAGAGAAACCTAGGGTGCAGGACTGCTAGGATCTAGGTTCCTTCAGCCTTGAGAGGAAAATCCTCCCATAGCCTTCATCCCTGGAGGAGTGACACGTTTTTCAGTTTTCCTTCCTTCTTACTCCACTCCACACCCCTTCAACTGGCTGACAGCCAGCAAGTCAGGGAGTTGCTTTCTGTATGCAGAGCTGGTAGATTCCACATACTCCTAAAGTTCACATATTCCTGAAGTTCATAGGGCTAAGCATGTAGCTCAGGTTCACCTAGTATGTACAAGGCTCTGGTTTGATCCCTAGCACCACCACATCCACCCAACAAATCATAAACCAATAGGCGGCCCAACCAAGCATTCTCACCAAGGAACTGGGCACAGCTCTTCCTTCATCTACATTCACTTTCTAAAGTTCAAAAAGAAAGTACATTCATCTTCACATTTCATTACATGAAATTAATGCACTATTAGTGTAGAAAACTTGGAAATTACAGAAAAATTAAAGAGAAAAATTGTAATTCCATCATTGAAAGATAACCACTATTTTCATTCTTGAATATGTCTTCAGAGTGTTTAAAATATATAGTCTATATATTCAACTTCACACTCATACTTTAAATACAAATTTTGTTTAAAAGCAAAATTAAGATAATAAAATATAGCCAGGTATGGTAGTATATGACTGTAATTCCCACACTCAGGAAGCAAAAGCATGAAGACGAAGCTGGTGAATTTGAGGACAACATAGACTACAAAGCAAGATCCTGTCTCAAAAAAATACACACTATTTTTATAACCTTTTTAATATTCCAAGAGCATTTTTCTTTTCTTTCCAGTCAAATGTCTTCTACATGACTTTTAATGGTTGCACAGTACTCCACCATCTGGTTGCATATACAATAATTTACTTAAGCAATCCCTGATTGCAAATTTTCATTACAGCAGAAAAGAATGAATGCCCAAGCAGTTGCTGCATTTTTCTTTATGGCAACCCTGAGACAAACATTTTACAGTAAAAACCTTAATTATTTTCTTAAGATGAGTTCCCAAGCAGAATTATTAGGTCAAAGGAACATGGAACCTTTTGGGATTTTTTTTTGGAGGGAGTTAAGTGTATTTTGGGGGGAGGGGTTCTGGGGATTGAACCCAGAATGTTGTATTTGCTAGGCAAGCACTTTGACACTGGGCTACATCCTAGCTCATAGGGTGTTTGATTGATATATATTATAAAACTTCCATCCAGGATGCTGTACTAGTTTAGATTCCTACATGCAATGTATGGCAGTGTTCTTTTGCCAGTACTGGATCTTATTTATTTCTGTCATAGCACGCTAAGGGAAAAATGATTCTAGTAATATCTGTCTTCCTTTAATTACTAATGAAGAATGCTTTTTTATGGTTTTATACATTTGCATTTCTTTTATGAATTTCCTATGTATGTCCTTTCACAGCTGGCTCATGACTTCTTGAGGCTGCTTATACAAAAATTACAGGGTGGGTTGGAGGCAGAAGGAGGGCAAAGCCACAGGACACTTTACTATGCTGCCACATCTCTGAAGGAGGCAGGACTGGAGAGAAATGGAAGGAAGTTTGTCCTTGATGGAGACTGGCTGTTCTCCCTTCTCCTTAGGTGGTCAGGCCTTTAGAAGTCCTTCTTGATTTCCAGAGAGCCTCCAGACCAGATCCTTCACTGATCTTCTGACTGCCTCTGTATTGCCAAGTTGCCATTCTTTATTCCTGCTCCATGTTGGGTAAAGATAGCAGAGCCACATACCCAGCACTGGAGAAATACATTGTGGCCAGTGAAGCAATGAGGGTAAGAGAGGACAGAGGCAATGTCCAGGGGACAGAGTGATCTTTGTTCAAGCCTATGAGTAGACTGAGTCTACCCACACCCACTCCACTATAGTACCACACACATCCTACCCAGAGCTTAGGCTGTAGAGGGGTAGGGTTGAATGGTCTACACTCTCATATCTTTCAGTTTCTAATAAATGGAGAATACAGTCTCCATTTATTTATCTCCTTCCACCCAACAGGACAAATAAATTCCTGTAACCCCTGAATTTGGCCATCATCCATTAGAGAGACTGGCCCACACTGAACCACATGAAAACCTGAGCCCAAGCACAAAAATAAGAATGGATTGGGAGCTAAAGGTGGCAGATTTATACTGCTTGATAACCAAAAGTGATCACATCCCACACTTCATGCTGGAGGGGACAATTTGCTGGCTTTACAGGCCTAAATTGACTCTCTCTCTCACTGTTCTGAAATATTAACTGAGAGAAGAAACAGCAGAGGCAGCTAGAACTCAGAGTTGCAGTCTCTACTTTGTGGGACAGAAGCCTTGGGTCACCCTGATTGGTGAGAAGTCAATGCAGACAGTGAACATTTAGTGGCCCTTTACACTGGTCTCACCCTGGTCTTCCCCCCCTCAACCATGTCCCAGCCACTGGTGCTGTGGTAGGAACAGGGGAGGACCAATAACTTATGCAGAAAGCCACTATCTTCCTATCCACAGGCCCAGGGGATTCCCCACTTCATAGGTAGAGAAACAGGCAGGTATAAGGGTCTCATATAGTAAGTACACCTAAATCTAGAATCTGAGCCAGTCTAAGAAAATTCAAGAATGACTATGATCAGAATTTCAGTGTCACTTTTCTCCTTAAGAGTACACACTCACTTTTGGCCTTTGCCTGGTAAGGAAAATTAGGGTAGAATGAGAGATAAGCAAAGTGGGAGGAAATATGGGTAAAGGGTTAGAAAGAATTTCCTTCTCTCTTTGCATTGCCACACTAAAACCAACAAACCTTGGATACTTCAATCTACCTATTCCCCAATTCAGCCAATAACTCTAAAATCTGTAACTCTAAAACTTGTTTGGTCATTCCGGGTGAAGTTTCTTCAACCCCTTCCCAAAAGGTATGATCGATCACTTGAGCTGTTCAGACCTTCCCAGTCCCCACTTGTCACCTTCCAGATGCTAGGAAAAGCAGCTCCTTCTCTTCCTCTTCCTCCTCGAAGCCAGGGGCAGAGGGCAACAGTTCTTCAACTGGCAGCTTTAGCTGGGTCAGGACATAAAGCTTGCCACTGAAGAACTACTGCGGCTCAGCCAGGTGAGGATGTGGGAGGCACAGGCTCCTAATGGGAAGGGAAAGAAAAACAGGAAAGATCTAACACTGTCACACTGGTCACTGAAGCCCAGACTTTCAACTGGTCCTAAGGGATTCTTGTCTCATGGGGCTTGCAGGAGCTCTTAGAGGAAGCTCTAAAATGTACTTCTTTTGCCCCTCTTTACAAGCAGCCTACCTGAGGCTCCAGCCTCTTTTGCTTCTCAGAGTGGGAAGGACCTACGACCCTGGATACACTCCACCAGTCATTCGGGTCCCAGGTGAGAAATTGTACTTCGGGTCCAGAAATGTGAGTTCAGTGATCAGCTCAAGTAATTTGTTCCCAGGGAACTGAGCTGGAAGGAGAGCATGGGGGCCTGTGTGGCTAGAATGGGGAGAGAGAAAGGGAGGTCTAGAGTTTGGAAGGTCAGCAGAGGCTCCCAGGTCTGTGAGGGAGAGGACAGCCCACTGAAGGCTGTAGGGGAGGGGGGTATGGGCAGGGTGGTTGGGCAGCTTCCTCAGAACTCTCAGATGCCAGGCATTCCGCTTGCACATTCCGGGTACATCTGGTATGAATTCCAGGCTGTCTGCCGGCCCCTCCATGTCTGAACTTTGTTCCAAGTTCCAAGCCCCGCCCCCACAGTTCCAACGCATGAATCAGCAGGAAAAGCCGGGCCCTGCAGCATGGCCCAAGGAGGGGGCTGGGGGCGTGGCAGGCTGGAGGGCTGTGAGCTGGAGAGGGCGGGTCTGCACTGACACTTCAGTCCAAGGGCATGGCCTGTGCCAGGTTGAGGGGCTAAGGCCGATTTTGCCTTGGCATTTTCTATACACAAGAGGATAGAAAGATTAGGGTGGGGGTGGGGTTCTTCAAATTCCGAAAGCCTCTTGGGAGGCATGAACTTTGTGGTATCTTCCTTCTAGGTGACCAGTGCCAACTCTGTCCCACTCCCCTTTGCCCGAGATGGCTCTGTTCATCCCACGAGATCCAGCGGCTATTCAGAGTTTGGGCCAAGCAGGTGTCCTTGGTCGCAGGGCGGGGTGGGCCCAGGGCACTGACCCTCTGACCAGCTGCTCCATCAACCCTCTGGCACCCTAACAGCTTCTAGCCCAGTGTGACAGCCAGGATGACAGGCCAAATGAGTTGGAGGCTGGAACCAGGGCCAGAAGGAGGTGGGGGCGACAGCCTAGCCGAGGCCATGGGGAGGGGCCAAGAGTTGGCCGAGAGGTGGGGAGAGAGGGAGCCCAGCGATGACTAACCCAGGCGCCCCACCCAGCCAGCCGGCTTCCCAGGCGGTTAGGGCCTGGGCTAGGGGCCTCAACCACAGACAGGCTGGGGTGTGGGGGGGAGGTGCAAAGGTGACCTCTCTGTCCAAGACGGCCGGTAGAGGGGGAGGGGGGCTCTGGGTAGGGGCTAGGGTTTCCCGGCCCTCCTCCTGCCTGCTTCCCTTCACCCCCCCCCCCACCCAACCGCAATGAAACCCTAACCTTTGAGTTGCATAAGGCCCCGCTCCGCCGCCCCCTACTCCTTTCCCCTCCCCCCTTACATAACATTCCCAGAGGGAACGAGAGGAGGGACCGGCCCGCCCAGCGACCCCTTCCCTGCCAGGGATCCGAACTGGCCTTGACCCAGTGAGTGCCAGCAGAGGCAAAGCACCTCCCTACTACTCGCTGGTCCAGATCCTCTCCAGGCTAGATGGTCGCTTCCCACACCCTCAGACCAGAGGACGAAGGGGTTAGCCGCCCCCGACCCTCCGGCCCCTCATCTTCCTCCCATCTACTCCTCCAGACCTTCCACCACGACCCCTGTCCTGGACTTTTTCTTTAAACCTCCACACACACTACTTCAGCCCACCCAGGCCCCACTCCCCCGGGGCGCCTCAGCCCCCGCCGCCCCCTCTCCCCTCCCCCAGGAGGGCAGGGTGTGGCCGCCAGGACCCCACTTTTCTCCATCACCCAGTTACTACAATTCTCCCTGTATGACCGGGTCCCCAGAGCACACCCACCTGGTGCTGGGCTATGGGGGTTGCAGAGGATAGGGGAGCAAATCACAGCGTCCGATCCCCACGACCGGCGGCGCTGTCTCTTCCCAGTGCCCAGCACACACCGGCTCCAGTCTCCGATCAGCTGGCGGCGTCGTGACGCACAAGCTACGTTAGCACCTCTTAGAGCCAATCACCGCCTAGTGCTGGACAACGTGACCACACCCACTCGGGGGCTCCAGCACTCCCCTCTGGTTCCGCCCCTCGGAACGACTTCGCTGTGACTGACAAGGAGACCATTCTTTTCCTTAGCGGAGTTGAGCTAAGCCACGCCCACCAACTCACGAAGTGGCCAATAAATGAAAAGGTGAGGCCCAGCCTATGCCACTTGCTTAGGAGAGCGTTACGTCAAAAGCCGGGTCTAATGAGCAGAAGGAAGTTAAAAAGCGTGTGTATTTGCAGTGCACACTGGTCAGTGTAGTTCCTGGCCTTACACTCTTGCTCCCAGAATGCAGCACGCTTTGTGAGTTGGCATTTTTAAACTGATCTCTGATTCCATCCCGGGGAAGTCCTTAAAGGGCTACAGTCTCTTCTTTTTGGAGCTGGTGTTGCCTCTGTTAGGCACCCTCAAACATCCCGGGAGGGAACAAGAGAGGAGGGCTCTCTGGCCTCCACAAGGGAGGCTAAAGCTCTCTCAGAAAAGATGGAGCAGTCCTTGCAGCTGGAGTGAACAGAATGAAAATGGAAATTAGCCCCCCGGGGCAGCGAGACACTTTGATTGGAGGCGAACTCCAAGGGCTTTTGGAGAAAGGCTAGCTCTTACAGCCCTATCAACAGAGACCTAGTCCTCCCTCTTGGAGCGGAAGCTTTCTAATTAGAGGAGTCTTTTCTGGTAAACGTTGCCTCTAAAGGGGCAGCTTCCTAGCAAGATTCATCAGATAGATTCCGGGGAGGGGGTGGCGGGGGAGGGGGAAGGGCGGAGGGAGGGGGGATAGAACCTAGGTTAGAAATTAGATGAGGCATGCACAAGCGCAGGTGGCCAGAAGTCCCACCCTTTCATTAACCCCATTCGGTCTGGTCCTTCCCAGATTTAGGCCTACTTAGGGAAGAGATTTCAATGACGGATACCAATGAGGAGGGTGCTCCGTCTCCAGGGACCAATCAAAGACTAAGGGCTGGAGGATGGGCAAAAACTGAAATGAACCCAATGACTTGGCAAAAGCTGCTGAATTCTTTATTTAAAGGGGCAGCCTGGGACCTAGCCCACCTCTTCCACTTGCCCACTTCACCACTACCTCCAAAGAGCAAAGTATGGATGAGGATTTATGACTTTTCTGTAAGTCCCACAGTGAGAGTAAAGATAACTGAGACTGAGATGAATATGGATACTGAGACTGAGATGAATATGGATACTGAGACAGTTCATTCAGTGTTAAGTAGAAGATTGCTAGGTGATTGCTATAGCTTCTTGGAGCTCTAAGAATTCAAGAGTTCTGAATCTGTGTTCAGAACATTGTACCTTTAAGGAGACTTCCTGCCTTTGCCCCAGTAACAGCTGATTGTTGGAAAGTGTGACCTAGGGGGACGAATCAGCTGTTACCACATCCTCCTTGCCTGCCCTCCTCCACCCCCTTATCCACCCCCCCTCCCTTGGGTAGTAACGGAAGGAAGTGGAACCCCAAGTATGGGGGGCATAATTTACGAAGCATCCTCTAAACCCTACCCTTTCAAGACTGTCACTTCCCTTCACCCCCATCTGCTTGTTAATTCTTCAGAGGTTCAGAGTTTGGAAGCAGAGGTATTTCCGGTCTCCTTCTGTCAGCTCAGACCCGTCCCTCTTTGGCCTAGTGGGGAGGCCAGTACTGGGGAGGCTTGCAATGGTGGCCAGCTGGGTGTGTGGGTGCTCCAGGAGGGAGCTGGAGATGGCACAGGGAGCCTGAGCCCCAAGCCTCGGGAAGAGGGAAGGCTGTGAAAAGCAAACCTTATTTTGGTGTTAAAACCCAGTTTCCAAAGCCAGCTGTCCCCTTAATCCCTGCTCAAGTTGCTTTGCTCTCCATTGAGTAGCTTGCTGAGGGGATCCTGGCTTTGTCCAACTTGACTGTTCTAAGACCTTTGTCCAGTGACACTACCACCTGGTCTGTTGGCTGCCCCATCTTTTGTTTTTAGCACTACTACCCTCCCCTCTACTGAGAAGGCCGTTTTGCTACCTAGGGATTTAGTAGAACACACTGGTCCTTTTAAGCTAAGGGCTTTGAAAAGAAAGTCCTGCAGGAAAAGCCTCAGGTAAATATATTGCCTCAGCCCTGAGCTGGGAGTCAGGGTCACTCCAGGACGAGCTTAGTGTGAAGTCCCAGAACTGACTTGGCAAGGTTGGGAGAAATTGAGCAGGGCTCTGGCCAAGCTTGGGAGAAAGAGAAGTCTCAACCAGCTGCTCCATTCTCCATTATTCCTTAGCAGAAACCTCTCATTTCCTACTCACTCAAGGCCCTTGGGGTAGCCCTCCTCCATTTGTTCTGTTCCCTAACCTTTTTTTTTTTTTGGGTCTGGTTGTGGGGCCTGAACTCTGGGCCTGGGCGCTGTCCCTCAGCTCTTCAGCTCAAGGCTAGTGCTCTACCACTTGAGCCACAGCGCCACTTCCGGCTTTTTCCTTTTTTTGCTTATGTGGTGCTGAGGAATCGAACCCAGGGCCTCATGCGTGCAAGGCAAGCACTCTACCACTGAGCCACCTTCCCAGCCCCTGTTCCCTAACCTTTCAACCATTCCAGGACAAAAGCACAGGGTTAGAGAACAGGATTTCTCAACCTCTGCACTGTGACATTTTGAGCCAGACATTTTCTTGTGGGAGGGTTACTGTATGCATGGTAAGAAGTTCAATACCATGCAAGTAGCAGCTCCCCAATTAGAATAACCAAGCGTCCTCAAATGTCCTCTGGGGTTCAAATCTTCCCCAGTTGAGAGCTACTGAGTTAGGCAAACTCAAATTTAGACTAAAATTCCTGCTCTTTGAGCTTATGGAATATACTTTTGTCACCTACAACAAAAGGTGAATAATAAATTCTTGGTTTTCTGTAGTGATTTAAAGTGATTGGTTGAAAATACTGGCATACTAACTTGGTTGGATGCACTGAACATTAACTTTCTTCATCTTTCCCCCTGCCAGTTTAGTCAAAGCTAATCACAGCATGGGCTAGCCGCCCAAAAAGCAGCTGTAGCCCCAAGATATGACTTCCTGGAACCCAACATTGAGTTTGGAAAAGAGGAATGAACAATTTGATTCTGGATTCCCTAAAGCCCAAAGTGCTTGAGTTGGTATTTAAGAAGAGCGCTTTGGGGTGAGAAAGTAGTAAATTTGGGAGAACTACTATAGAGAATTATTGTTATTATTAATAGTAGTGAGAGTAATAGGGATTGAATCTAGTACCTTGTACATACTATACCTTCAATCACTGAACTGCTGCCTAGACCATTATTTTTCCAGACGTACCCTAATCCTGCATCAGAAACATCTGGGGTGCTAGATAAAAGTTCATATTCTGCCTGGTGTGGGTGGCTCATGCCTGTAATTCTAGCTACTCAGGAGGCAGAGATATGAGGATCACAGTTCAAAGTCAGCCCAGGCAGGAAAGTCTGAGATTTTTTTTTTTTTGGGTCCGGTCATGGGGCCTGAACTCTGGGCCTGGGCGCTGTCCCTCAGCTCTTCAGCTCAAGGCTAGCACTCTACCACTTGAGCCACAGCACCACTTCCGGCTTTTTTCTTTTTGTTTATGTGGTGCTGAGGAATCGAACCCAGGGCCTCATGCATGCAAGGCAAGCACTCTACCACTGAGCTACCTTCCCAGCCCCAAGTCTAAGATTCTTATCTCCAATTAATCATCAGAAAACCAGAAGTGGCACTGTGGTTCAAAGTGGTAGAGCACAAGCCTTGACCAAAAAAGAGCTAAGAAACAGCACCCAGGCCCTGAGTTCAAGCCCTATGACTGACAAAAAAAAAAAAAAGTTCATATTCTTGGATCTCATTCTGTCCAGACTATTTAATCAGCAGAATGCCCTAAAATTGAAAAGTACTTGGGAAGGGGTAGCTTAATAGAATAGTTGCCATGCTAGCTTGCACTTGGGTCCTAGGTTTGAACAGTCCTTGGCACTATAAAAAAAGAAAAGAAAAGAAAGGGAAAGGAAAGAGTTCATATCAAGAAAGGTGTGATGGGGCTGGGAAGAGCCCAGAACTGCAAAGACATCTCAATTCTAAGCAGGAAAAAAAAAGAGTTAAGTAGTAAACTTAAATACACTCAAGGTCAGTACTGTAGTATATTTTACCACCACTAGAGGGCAGGGCACACAACAAACTTGTAGAGAGAAAAAAAAAAGTGCTTAGTCTTGGTAACTGAGACCATAGCCAAAGATTAGGCAGACCCAATTTTATTGGTACTAAGAAGTGGGCATTAGCTGGATTATTAAGATAGTCCTCTCAGCTGGTTGTGGTGGCTCATACTTGTAATCCCAGAGTTGGGAGGTAGAGGTAGGAAGATCTCAAATTTAAGATCAGCTTGGTTTCGGTTCAAAGCCAGTTGGGGCAGGAAAGGCAGTGAGATTCTTATCTCCAATAAACCACTATAAAACCGGAAGTGGCTCTGTGACTCAAGCAGTAGAGTGCTCGCGTCGACTTGAAGAGCTGAGGGACAGTGCCCAAACCCAGAGTTCAAGCCCCAGGACCAACAGAAAAAAAAAAAAAAAAAAAAAAGATCAGCCTGGACTATACAGTAAGACTTTTTTAAAACAAAACAAACAGGAAAAGTAGGTTCTCTCCTGGGTCAGATTTCCAGCACCAAGAAACAACAACAACAACAATAATAATAATGAGCCCATATAACCTTGGTTCATGTCTATAATCCTAGTTCCTCAGGAGGTTGAGATCTGAGGGTTGTGGTTCAAAGTCAGCTCAGGTAGGAAAGTCTTTTTATCTCCAATTAACCACAAAAAGCAAGAAACAAGCAAGCAAGCAAGAAAGAAAGAAAGAAAAGAAAGAAAGAGGAAAAAGAAAAAGCTGGAAGTACAGCAGTGGCTCAAATGGTAGAATGCCAGCCTTGAGTGAAAAAGCTAAGAGATAGAATCAATGCCCAGAGTTTAAGCTCCAGTACTGGCACTAAATAAAACCAAATAAAAACTTGTCTTCTGCTTTTAAGTTCTCATGTGAAAGTCAGGAACAGGGAACTGTCATAGGCCATCTCATTTCCTAGGTGAAAG